CTGAGTTCGATTCCTCAGCACCACATAAGCAAAAAGAAAAAAGCCAGAAGTGGCGCTGTGGCTCAAGTGGTAGAGTGCTAGCCTTGAGCTGAAGAGCTGACGGACAGCACCCAGGCTCAGAGTTCAGGCCCCACAACCGGAACCAAAAAAAATAAAAAATGTTCACAGCAACTTCATTTATCAGAAACAAAACCTAGAAACAATTCAGTTTTCTATCAACAGGAGAATGGATAAACAAACTGGTAAACTCATACACTGGAATACTTTCCAGCAATAAAAAGGCAACAGAAGCTGAACACGGTGGCTCCTTCAGTAATTCTAGTTATTTTAGGAGACTGAGATCTGAGTAGGGCTTTGAAGCCAGTGGAGGCAGAAAAAAAAATCCATGAGATTATCTCCAATTAACCAGCAAAATAGCTAGACTAGAGAGGTCAAGTGGTAGAATACCAGCTGTGAACAAAAAAAGCACACCCACACACCCACCCACTAGGCCCCAATGGCTCCTAACTGTAAACTAATACTACCTACTCAGGAAGCTGAGATTTGGAGGATCATGTTTCTGGAGGATTATGGTTTGAGGTCAGCCCAGAAAAAAAATTTACTAAACTCCATCTGCAAATAACCAGCAAAATGGAAGGGGTGATACTAATCAAGATGTACTGTACTCATAAAATTAACATGTTGAATTGAAACTCCTTTTTACAACTACTTAAAGATAATTTAAAAGAAAAAAGAGATCAAAAAGCAAGGCTGGAGGAATATGGCTGAAGTAGTAAGATGACAGTCTAAAAAGGTTATGATTTTAAACACAGTACCACTCCCTCTTCCCCAAGTATATACTGATTTTATAAAAACTATGTCCTTAAAGTTAAAGGGACAGAAAGAATGTACACTGTTGCTGGGCTCTGGTGGCTCATACCTGTAATCCTAGCTACTCAGGAGGCTAAGATCTTAGGATCTCAGTTGAAACTCTTATCTCCAATTAACCACTCAAAAATCCAAATGGCATTGTGGATCACATTGGTGGAGCACTAGCCTTGAGTATAGAGCTCAGGCCCTGAGTTTAAGCCCATGATTCATATGAAGTTCAAGAAAAGGCAAGATTATGACAACAGAAAGTAAAACTGGTTGTTTCAATCAATGGGAAGGTAAAATGCTAAGGAAGGAACAAGAGATAACTTTCTGAAGACATGGGACTGTTCAATAACTTGATAAGGGTATGGCTGCTGGTTGTGCATCTGACCCAAAACTAACCAAACCATTAAGACTGGACCATATTTCAGTTTGAAAAAACGAAGTTTCAGAAACAACATTAGAGGCTAGTCAGAATAAAGTAGGAATAATACCAATCACCTATAATTAATATTTACAGCCTTTACAATAGTCACCAAATAGTCTAGTACATGAAAAAACTCCATTTTAATTTACTTCCATACTACCCAATAATGTGCTTTTAATCCATCAAATCAGGTGATATGCACTGGCCACTCAATTTTGGAACATAAATCAATGTTCCTATATGTGGTATGCAGTCTAGCAAGTGTGCATTTTCTGGGTCCTTGTCTCTGTACATTTCATATTCCAATTATTTATTACTACAGTTAGATTAGTGTGAGGAGGAAAAAGTATTACTGAAGCAGTATTCAACAGAAGTCTGTCATGAAGAAAACCATTTTACCTGTGAGATGGAGCCTCCCATTATAAAGGATGGTTTCTCTGAAGCCACTGTGGTTTTAGATGATGGGATGAGAGGAGGTGGTGGCCTGGTTGGTCGAGTTGTTGGAAGTCGAATCCCTTCAGGGAGATTAGTTATCACTTGATGTGGAGCAGGTTGGAGGACTTTTAAAAAAGGAAAACATGATTTAATAGAATCAATTTCCTCGTTTGCCACAGGCTACCTATTTCAGTCAATCTTCCATAATTTTTCTACATCCATCACCCTTTGGATCTTACAATGGAAGTAAGAAAAAAGGGGCTTCTGAGGAACAGATGCTGGTCTTTGTTTCATAGAGTATGCAAACCTGGCTGACAACTCACTACACATCCTCTGTGCACCTGGCATAAACTGAGAAATATTTACTGATTTTTGGCTCTCACAGCACACTTGAATTTCTGAGGGGTTATTTCTCAAGATTTTTACAAAGTGGATAGATACACTTTTAAAAGAAAATGCAGTCAATGTCATAGTATAAATGTGTGAACAGAAAACTTCCCAGTGGCCCAATGAAATCTGAACTGAGTAAAAGTGACAATGGGATGTAGAGAAAGAAGAATGTCATTTTGAGATTAGGAAGGACATGTCCTAGAAGAACACTTTATTCATGAGATTAAACCACCCACATGGAACATCTGTGGGTAATGGCTGATGGCCACTGCACAGAGGGGTGATATTTACCTGGCGGGACACTATAGCGGGCTGTACTCCTATCAGGCTGTGGAGCGGCTTTACTGACTTCTCTTGGAGAGAGCCTACACGGTGAGGCTGACCTTGCTGCGGTACTGTGCATCTGTGCTTCCTGTTCTAGAACACGTGTGACCTCAGCATAAGGCATATAGGCGACTGATTTTCCTATGAAAGTTAAAGTTATCAAAATAAGGGAAGAACCCCAAATTAAAATAGTGTGAAAGGACCAAGCCCCCACCATTCAGGGGAAGATCCATTTATATGCTTTTAACAAGGCCTGAAAGGTCTGGGGGAAGGGAGGGAAGTACACTCATTGGAGAAATTAAGAAATCCTATAAATCTCAATATGTCCAATACCACTATGACCTAATAAAAATACTCAAAAATGCAGTCACAGCTCTTCCTTAAAATGACAAAAATTCTTTCTGAAGGAGAACCAAATGTTTTAACATACAGTAAAATTATAACAAGCAAACATCAGACTAACAAGTAGCTCTGTGAATCCAAGTCTAGCAAGAATTAGAGGTCAGCATTATGAAGAATTTAATCCCTGAAATTAGCCTGCTGATGCTAACAGCTTAAGTAAATAAGAAATGAAAGACGCCTTTTACAAAAACAATGTAGATCAACAGTTCTACAGAAACATTTTTTTTTTTTGGTTGATCATGGGGCTTGAACTCTGGGCCTGGGCACTATCACTGAGCTCTTTTGCTCATGACTAGCACTCTACCACCTTAAGCCACAATGCCACATCCAGCTTTCTGGTGGTTAATGGGAGATAAGAGTGTTATGGGCTTTCCTGCCCAGGCTGGCTTCAAACCATGATCTTCAGACCTTAGCCTCCTGAGTAGCTAGGATTAAAAGCATGAGCCGCCAGCGCCTAGCTAGAAATTTTTTAAGCTACATCTGTAATAATAAAAATGAAAATAATAAGACATGATATAAAAAATTTTGAACATTTAAAAGGCATGCCAGAAATGCAGTCATATTAACACTCTAATCTTTTTTTTTTTAATTTCAAACAGGCTGTATATATAGCCCAGGCTAGCCTGGAACTGAAGATGCTACTGCCTCTGCCTCCCATGTGCTGTGATTATAAGTGTATACCATCTTGCAAAGATAAGTTTCTCCCTTTTTTAAATGAAATTGATATACAGTAGCAATTTTTGAAAATCAGAAAAGCATAAAGAAAAATCTATGTCTAATCATTTAAGATATGAAGCATTTCAAAGTCTGTCAAAACAATTTCCCATCCATTTTATTACTTTTTGTGTCCTTAGTCTTATCCATTTATTCTTCCAGATAAATTTATTATTTAAATTCATTTTGAATAATACTGCCTCCCAAACAAAGTGTCACTGGAATGTACATGTACTTGTATTAAAAGTATGAATATTTAATATTGAATTTTCTAATTTGTCACATAGTTTGTACATTTGTTAAAAATAACTCCTAGACAGTTTCCATTCTCTTGCTAAGGAAATCATCTCTTTTACATATATGGAGTAATAATATATATTCATGTGTGTGTATCCACATAACTGTATTAGGCAGTAAATAGGAAAAATGTAAATTTCAATGTAACAACTTATTCTAAGAAACAGTGAATTTTCCTTTTTACTTAAAATTGATTCTTTTATACTTTGTAGTGGATCCTCCTCTATAAATAACAATTTGTCTTTTACTTTCATATACATAAACTTTTTTTTCCTTACTATCTTGCATTAGTAAATAGTAGGTGTTCTGAAAGTCCCAACCAAAAAGGAACATCTCTTGAATTTCACAGTAAGTGTTGAGGTATGTAATTGCTTTCAAATAAAGATCTGCTATCTATTTCAAGTTATGAAGAGCTATTTTTAGAAATCAGAAACAGTGCTAGTAGTACTAATTTTCTTCCTCCTGAGTAGCTAGGATTACAGGCATGAGCCACTGGTGCCCGGCTAGAACTAATTTTCAAGTGCTAGCCACTGTGCCATTCATGAATTATCTCATTTGCCCTCATAAACCCACTGAGATTAGTAGCATTTTATACACGAGGGAATTAAGGATTAAAAGAATCATACCTAACTTTCCAGCCAAGGGACTATTTAAAAAAAAAAAATGATTCCAGACTGAGCTATCAATCACACTGCAATAGTATCTCAGTGAAAGACTAGGTGGTTAACTGGAGAAGACACTGGGGTATCCTTCAAAATTTGGCATAACATTAAAATTTCACAGTTGTTGTTTTACCATTTCAGCAAGTTTATAACTAAGCTCCTAAGAAAAATTTACTGGTCATATCAGCATTTTTAAAAATGCAGAAATGGTTCTACATATAAAAAATGCAAAATAATAAGTTCAGCTATACAGAAGCAAAAATTCTTATTTTGACTGGATAGATTTTGTTATATTAGAACAATTCTAACTATTTACATGCAAAGTAAATTTGAGTTTTTTCATTGAAAGATTATCAATAAAGTGGGGTCAATTCATGTGAATGTTATTTGAAAGTAAAAGCAATTCACTAAGCTTTTTTTATTATTAAAAGCTTTTTAAGGAGGAAGAAAAAGCTTTAAGTAAGTTTAACAGGGAACATTTACAATAACTATACCATTCACATTGAGACAAACAGGTAACAAGTGTTGCCTGGTTTTTATTTGGGGGGGGGGTAGGAGGTAGGGAGTAGAGAGAGGAGGGTCAGTCGGGGGGGGGGTTTGAACTTAGGGCCTAGGCACTGTCCCTGAGCCTCCTTGTGCCAAGGCTAGAACTCTACCACTTGAGCCACAGTGTCACTTCCAGTTTTTGAGTGGTTAATTGGAGATAAGAGTCTCATAGGGACTCTTCTGCCAGGGCTGGCTTCAAACTGCAATCCTCAGATCTCAGCCTCCTGAATAGCTAAGATTACAGGCATGAGCCACCAGTGCCCAGTGACCAGATACTTCTTAAACATAACCAAGACAGGAAAAATAAAATACATTGTCCTAATTATTCCAATATTCATTCTCTCCTAAAAGAAATTCTTTTTAATTGGGATGCTCAAAAGACAAATACTTCAGGGTTAGGTGCATTGCTCAATGGTAGAGCACTAGTGCAGCATGCACAAAATCTTAAATCAGAAAAAAAAATATTGGCAAAGATATATACATAGCAATAAAAGTATTTCTTTTAAGGTATCCATTTAAATCATTCCTTCAACATGAAACTGGTAAGTATGTATGGCCTTAACTACAAAACTAGGGATTAAGAAGTTTCTAGATACAATATACTAAAAGCCTATGTGTTTACTTCAATAAATGTTGTATAAGGCTGGACATGATGGTGCATGCATGAAATCCCACTATGCAGGAGGATATTTAGTTCAAGGACAGCCTGAGCTACACTGTGAGATCCTATTGGGGGGGGGGTGCGGGGGGAGAGTCGAAATGTAGCTTGGTGAGCACCGGGCATTGCTCTGAGCTTGATTACCAGCACTAAAGCAACAACAACAAAAAAAAAAAAAAGGAAGAAAAAGAAATAATCACTATAGCATATACTGTATGGGTTGGTGATTATTATTGTCTTGGTTCACATTTTTCACTATCATAAGATTTGAAACATCAATGAGTTTATATTTAAAAGTCTAGCATAAGCGTTTCAAGGTTTTATGTAACTATTAATTCATTACTGGTCTGATTTGGGTAGGAGATAAGGAATCAGAAGAATCAGTTAAATTCCACTGTTCCTATTTTATATGTACCTAGATATGTGTGCATAGCATATTAAAGCTAATCAATCTTATATGAATCATCCATGATTTTTGTATTCTGACATTCTCAGCATCAGCACATTATGCTTTTGTGACATATAATTAATTAGCTCATGCACTGTTTCTAGCCATGTCTAAAATTATTAAGTAGCAAAATTGGATTACTCATCAATAAGATACACCAACTCTAATCTAGCACTGGAAATAGTAAGTAAAACAACAATGATGACAGGTATTTCCATAATATCTATTACAATATGAACACATTAATATACTAATTCATATATGATATATTGTATATAAATGCTGAGCTATGGATTATTTAACAGTACAGAATACTTGTTCTTTCTTGAATTTATAGCCCAGCAAGACAGGTGAGTATTAGTATTTTCACAAAAGCTAGAAAGGTTAGGTCAGCCAACAGTTTGAAGACTGAGCCAAGATGGGACTAGCACTAGATAATGCAAAGTTGTCTTCAATATGTCAGAGTAAAGATTATACTGTAGTGGGTAGGTGATCTGCTTCGAAGAATTAACAGTTCCCACTCACTCTGAAAATTCAGATGAATGGAACATGAAACATCTCTTTTACAAAGCACATAGAGGTTTCTCTTAGTAGTTTCTTTTAATAGTGATAATATCTATTAGTGTAACAGAAGTCCTGAAATGCTGATAACTTACAAAGTGCAAAGGATACTACCTTGGATTTAGCTGTTTGTATTCTGAAATATTGTGGTCACGGGTGCATTTGCTTACCTTCCCATTCTCTGTTTGGACTCTTGGAAGTGCCACACGGGCTTGTAGAACTTCTACATTCCAAATCTATCTGTTCTTGCCTCTGTCTCTGTTCCTCCAAGAGTGCTGACTCATGCATTGCCTTAATGTGTCGCTGGTAGAGAGCATAGCCACTTACAGGGGTTCCAATTGGCATATTACATGGGGTGCAGGAAACCTGCAAGAAGAAAAACAACTATGTACCAATGGACTGGGTATAGTACTTACGATATGCTACTCCCCCCCAAAAAAAAGCTTATTTCTGCCATATTACTGGCTGCTGATTTTAGCATTTTTTGTTGTCTCTTTTTTGCACCCATCCTGGGATTTAAACTTAGGACTTAGGCACTGTCCCTGAGCTTTTGTGCTCAAGGTTGGCTCTCTACCACTTGAGCCACAGCTTTGGACTTGCTGGTGGTTAACTGGAGATAAGCATCTCATAGACTTTCCAGCATGGGCTGGCTGTGAACTACAATCCTCAGATCTCAATCTCCAGAGAGTTAGGATTACAGATATGTGCCACAGACACCCAGCCTTACCATGTTTCAATAAAAGTAATCTTCAAGAAGAATGATTAAAACACTATGTGGTTATTTTCAGAACTGAACACAATATAAATCATGAATGCTGAGATAAATCAAAAATTAGAAATTAAAGAATATTAACTGGTTCTAATTTATGGTGGCCAAGTCCATTCTGGCTTGCTCCTGGGTCCTATTCCTGGTCTCTCTGTTCATCAGGCAATTATACTCATTTCTATAGATTTGGGGTATGTGGGGAGGAGAAGTGATACTGGGTTTGAGATCAGGGCCCTGTATTACCTTGCTAGGCAGATGTTCTACCATTTGAGCCAAACTCCAAGCCCCATTTCTGTAGATTTAAATGGCATCCATATGGTAATGATTTAAAAACTTCCCCTTCATTTCATATTCATATAAAACTGCCTATCTTTAAGTCACTCAAGGCCTTTGCATCTATTGGATAAGCAATTCAGAACTTAGACTCAAAATAGAACTTTGCATTTCCTAAACCTAATGCTGTTTTTTAATGCTCTCCATCTTGGAAATAGACAAGTCAAAAACCTAGCCCTTATCCCTGACTAATCAACTGCCTTCCCTCCCACAATCAATTAACATATCAATTTTATTCAGGATAGTAACGGACATGCCATTCCTAACCATTCAGTAAAACATGGTAAGTCCTCAATGTTAGAACTGGAACTTTGAAATTGCTGCAAGACAGATTAGGAAAAAACACTAGAACTCATAGGCATAGGCAAAAACTTTTTTTTGTTTTGTTTTTTGTTTATGGGTCTGGTCATAGGGCCTGAACTCTGGGCTTGGACGCTGACCCTCAGCTCTTCAGCTCAAGGCTAGCATTCTACCACTTGAGCCACAGCGCCACTTCCGGCTTTTTTCTTTTTGCTTATGTGGTGCTGAGGAATCGAACCCAGGGCCTCATGCATACAAGGCAAGCGCTCTACCACTGAGCCACCTTCCCAGCCCAGGCAAAAACTTTTTGAAAAGAGTCCCAGGGGCACAGCAGATAGAGTTGACAAAATAGGATTATATCAAAATAAAAAGTTCCTGCACAGCAAAGGACAGTTACTAAACTATAAAGACAGACAACAGATTAGGAGACCTTTACCAGCAATAAATCAGACCAAGGCCTAATATCTAAAAGTACAAGGAGCTCAAGAGACTAACCCCTCCCATGAGCCAGGGGCCAGTGGCTCACGCCTGTAATCCTAGCTACTCAGGAGGCTGAGATCTGAGGATCACAGTTCAGAGCCAGCACAGGAAGGAAAGTCTGTGAGACTCTTATCTCCAATAAACCATCAGAAAACGGGAAGTGGCGCTGTGGCTCAAGTGCTAGCCTTGAGCTGAAGAGCTCAGGGACATCTTCCAGGCCCACAGTTCAAGTTCAAGCCCCACGACCAACAAAAGAAAAAGAAAGTAACCCCTCCCAAAGCTAGTAAACAAATCACTAAGTGTGCAAAGGAGCTAAGGGGAGACATCTCAGAAAAAGGGGTAAGATGACAAAGAAACACGTGAGGAAATGGTTCATCATCCCTGGCCATAAAGGAAATGCAAATCAAATCAACTCTGATTTCCATCTCACCCCAGTTAGAGTAGCCAACATTGTGAATTCTAACAACAACTGTTGGCAGGCTGTGGGGGAAAAAGAACCCTACTGCACTGTTGGTGAGAATGTAAACTCATTCAACTACTCTGGAAAGCAGTCTGGAGCTTCCTCAAAAAATGAAATATAGACCTTCCCTACAACCCAGCCATATCACTCCTGGGTATCTACCCAGAATATCAGAAGCCAGGATACCATAAAGACACTTGCCCATCCATGTTCACTGCTGCACTATTCACAATAGTCAAGATATGGAAATAGCCAGATGCCCACAATAGATGAATGGATCCAAAAAGTGTGATACCTGTACACAACAGAATTTTACAGTCATTAGAAAGAATATTATGCTAGGAAATGGGTGGACCTAGAACAGATCATGTGAGGTAAGGTAGGCCAAAGTCAGAGAGACAAATAACACATGTTTTCTCTCATGTGGAAACTAGATCTAAAATACACCAGGATATAATAAATTATACAGGTTTCTAGGCATTCACACACATAGTGAGACCAAAGGAAGATACTCTTAAGAGAAGAACAGAAAGGCAAAATGCCTATATGCATATATCACACAAAATATTTTCAAAATGAATTCCAGGTAATGGAAACAAGAGGTTTTTTTTTTCTTTTTTGCTGTTTTTATTTTCTTTTTGTTCTGTTTGTTTATATGTCTTTGGCAGTGTAAGGGGACAAAGGGTGAACAAATGCAGCAATGGTACTCACTGGACACTCACTATGTTGAAAATGAACTATACAACTTGTATGTGGGATGGGAGGGGGAAACTGGGAGAGAGCAACAGAGGGGTGACACTGTCCAAAAAGAAATGTACACTTTGCCTGATCGACGTAACTACAACCCCTCTGTATATCACCATTATAATGACAATAATAATTTTTTAATATGGTAAGTCCTTCCAGTTTGCTATTCACTGTAGCCTCTTTCTTTTACAACACTTGCCCCACATGGCAAATATATTTTTCTTATGTGTTTTTCTATTCATGCTAAATTCATGAAGTATTTATAACTAAATAAATCAACATATATTTATGAACAATAAACAGCCATAGAAGGCTCTAGAAATTTAACTGTTTCAGAATCCGTTATCTAAAGACTGCCATGGTTTATAGCTTACTTTAACACATACAGAACATTTTTGTCTCTTGTGCTCTGACTTACATATAAACATGGCTTTTCATCCTGTATTCTACAAAGCCAAAATGAATTTCTTTGGTCCAACCAAAATATGACTTCTTACATGACAACTTTCAAGTTAACTCGGAGGCCTGCATGATTCCATTTAAGGAAGGTACTATGGTGTAAGAAAAGTTAACTATTTGATCTTTGTTCCTGGCTCTTGGACTGTCTAAAGAGTTCAAAGTATATTTTTTATAAAAATGGGATGGTTTGTTCGTGCCACCCAAACTCCAACCTCTAGGGAAGGGAGAGGAGCTGGAAATTCACACATTCATCACTGAAGGCCAATGATTTAACAGTCTCATATACATAATGAAAGTCCCATAAGCACCCCTAAATGGGGCCGCAGGGGTTGCACTTGGAAGCACTGAGGGAATGGCGTAGTCCAGAGAGAGCACAGAAATTCTACACCCATTCTCACATACCTAGTCCTAGGCAATTGGCTATTTCTGAGTTGTATCTTTTCTAACAGACTAGTAATATAGTGCTCTCTTAAGTTTTGTGAGACATTCTGGCAAAGTACTGAACCTGCAAAGAGGGTCAGGAAATCTTTCTGCCCAGGCTGGGTTCAAACCACAATCCTCAGATCTAAATCTACTGAACTGCTAGGATTACAAACATGAGCCACCAGCCCAGCAAAACCTGACTTTTAAACTAGTTGGACAGAAGTATAGATAACCTAGGAACCACTGCTTGTATAACTGCCATCTGAAATGAGAATTACATTTGTAGAGTTTAACACTAACACAGGATGCTATCAAAACTTAGTTGAAAGGCTGGACACTGGTGGCTTATAGGTATAAGCCACCTATAATCCTAACTCTTCAAGAGGCTGAGAACTGAGAACCTTGGTTCGAAGCCAGCCTGGACAGGAAAGTCCATGAGACTTTTATCTCCAATGAACCAGCAGAAAACTGGAAGTGGAGCTATGGCTCCAAGTAAGTTCAGGGACAGCACCCAAGCCCTTAGGGTTCAAGTCTCACAACTGACAACAACAACAACAAAAATTAATTGAAGCCAAGCATGTGGTATACACCTGTGACCCCAGCAACTTAGGAGGTGGAGAAAGGTGGATGGAGGTCTGAGACCAGTGGGGAAAAGGCTCAAGAACCTATCTATAAAACAAAGAAGGACTAGAGGAGTAGCTTGAATGGTACTGCAATCTGAATTCAGAATTCAGCCCTCTGTAATGCAAGTGTAAAAAAAAAAAGCACAATTGAATTCTAGGTACTTGATGTGTATTTGGGAAACTGGCTGGTGTGAGGAAAGAAGATACATATTTGGTATCAGAAGTGTTGCAGTATCAAAACAGTTCAGTGATATCTAATTAGTCATACTCACAGAAATAAAAGAATGGTGATTCCTAATGGCTAGACAAAGTTGCAGTTGGCTAGGAAAAGAGTTTTTCTTTAATATACAGTTTCAGATTTGGAAGAGGAAAAAGTTCTAGAGTTCAGTTTCCTAACAGCATAAATATATTCTAAACTAATGAGCTATCTACGTAAAATTTGTTGATAGTTAATGTTGTATTATATGTTTTTTATATAGATCAAGAACAAATTAAAGGAAAGTAGAAATATGTCTAAAAGAGTTTTGTACTTTGACTTTACATTTCTTGCAATAAAAACTTACCATGGGTGGGATAATAGCAGCTCGATGCTGAAGCTGTGGCAGGTCCAATGGATTTGGTTTTATTGGGGATGAGACTAGTATAGATCCAGTGGGATTTAACAATGAAGGCTTTGCATCCATAGGAAATATTCTGTAATTGGAAAAAACAGATAAAATATATTTTAATAAAACTCTATTCAAATGTAGAATCATAATTCCTTTTAAGTCAAAAGGTATGTACCTACTCATATATCTATCACATTAACTCTTAACAAGATACGTACAGAGTATTACCTAGTACATGCAAGACCTAGATTCAATCTCCAGAACCACTTAAATAAGAAACATTTGAACATGCTGGCAGAGATGTGGGGAAATAGGAACCCTACTGTAGTACTGCTGGGAATGTAAATAGTATAACCACTCTGACTAAACATAGAACTACCCAGCCATACTACTCGGGCATCTACCCAGAACATTATAAATCAGTATATGATAAAGACACTTGCACATCCTTGTTCACTGCTTCACTATTCACAAAAAAAAGATATGCAAACAGCTTAGATGCTTAAATATAGATGAGTGGATCAAGGAAATATGGTACTTATATACAATGGAATTATACTCATCCATTAGCAAGAATAATACTATGTCTTTTGCAGGGAAATGGATGGACCTAAAACAAATCATATTAAGTGAAGTAAGACAAACTCATAGATCAATGGCCCATGTTTTTTTTCTCATATGGAAGCTAGATCTAAAATACAACTAAACTTATACAGGTCTTTGTATATTTACACACAAACCGACTACAGGAGGTTATCTGAAGAGGAGGAATCCTCTGAACATCTCATGTACTTTTTAATCAAAACAAATTCCAAGAATTGGAAACATACTGGGGTCTTTTTAATGCTATTTTTGTTTAATTTTGTTTTTCTTTGGGGAGGTAGGCAAAGGGCAAGGCATAGAAATGGAAGGGAGAAGGGTTAGCAAATGCACTAATTGTATTCAATGTATGCTATGTTGAAAAATATAACGTGGGTCGAGATGGGAGGGGAAATTAGGGGAATGCAAAGGAAGGGTTGAAAATGTCCAGCAAGGATTGTACTCATAACCTAACTTATGAAATTATAACCCCTTTGTACAACTCCTTAAAAAAATAAAAAAGCAATAAAAAGGAACTTATAATACTAATTTTCCAAATAATATCAACTTACAAGTTGAAATTTATCTGATTTTAGTTATCTACATCTAACCAACAAAACAAGTGTGAATGAAAGCCAATAAAAATAGTCTTAATTTAACACTAACATATTAATGTAGGATAAAATTAGTTACCTAATACAGGATGTCTTGCTGGGAACAGAGTATAAGCCATTGCCATTGAAAAAATGGAGCTTAAGCCAAATTACAAGCTTCTGACTTCTCATGAAAACGGGAAGAACCAAGAACAGAACCAGCATTCCCACAAAGCAACTTCCATATGGACAGTTCTGCTCACGCAGTTCCTTATAACATCTAACACGCCGTACCTGCTTCATTCACTCTGCTCTAGTACCTACATAGTTTAGGGATCTCATATATGAACGGGGAAATTGTACACTAGTGACATGTCTTATAGGCTTGCTCATATTTCTCAATGCTATCAGTAATTGAGGAAAGGTAAAAATATTTTAAAACATATTAACTGGTAAGAAAATGAGAATATATAAAACTAACATATTTCATTAAAAAAGATGATATGCAGGAAATTGAAAGTGTATTCCAATAATTTGGAAATAATAGAGACTTTGAATTGTCATTCAGAAACCAACATGTTTTTACTAATTTTTTGTTTTGTTTTTATCTAGTGTAGGGAATCAAGCTCAGGGCCTGTACCTTCTAATTAGCAAGCACGCTATCACTGAGCTACATACAAGCAATTATTTACCTACAAGACTACCGTCATGGATACTCAATCTTCAAAACTGCTGCCATTCTAGTTTTTCCCTTTTATATATAGTTACCAAAATGAACACAGAACACAAATAATTCCTATTTCAAATGAGATGTTTTCATTAAGAGTTCATTTAGAAAAGACTACTTAAATGTACATACATTTACTCTAGTTAAAAAATGGGACTTAAAAATCTAGATTACATGGGCTGGGAAGGTGACTCAGTGGTAGAGCGCTTGCCTTGCATGCCTGAGGCCCTGGGTTCGATTCCTCAGCATCACATAAGCAAAAAGAAAAAAGCCAGAAGTGGCGCTGTGGCTCAAGTGGTAGAGCACTAGCCTTGAGCTGAAGAGCTAAGGGACAGCACCCAGGCCCAGAGTTCAGGCCCCACGACTGGACCCCCAAAAAACCCCAAAAAACAAAAATCTAGATTACTGTAATGCAAAGGGGGAAAAAGACTGATCTCAATGGTTCAATTTCCTGATTAAATCAAAGGTTAGGCAGAATCCCTATTTTATTTCAATTCTTATTGATGGATATTCTAGCACCTACTAAATTAAAAAAAAAATCTCTTCAGGGTTATCATTGCTAAATTTATTATTCCATTATCAAATGCCTTTCTAATATATTGAAATTTACAATCTACTGGCTGTGGACTAAAATTAGAATTTTACCAGGATAACCATACATAAAAGCCAAAGTATGAATATAATCTAACTTCTGGTGAGTAGCTGCCTTTTTTTTTTAAAACTAAAAAGTTACAAAGGCTAAAAGAAGGACAAAGGTTTAACTTTCTCATTAAATGCTATTTAAGTCTATTTTACATCTAGAACTTGCACCAATCCAACATCTACTGACTACAGACAATTCTACTTCTTTCATGGAAAAGAGAACATAGGAAAACTAAAAATATTAAAGTAGCATATATTCCTGTATTTTTTACTGTAACTTCCCAAAGCCCTAAAGATATACGCATTTTAATGAATCTGTCTTTAACGACAAAAACTATTTAAAAATTAATTTGCATTATACCTGATGTTTTACTTATAAACATGAACAGCCTAATAAAATTTTGTTACAAATATGTCATCATAATTACCATTAACTTGTACTTAAGTTACACTCACTCCATTATTTTCAAAATACTTGATAACTTCACCCTTGAAGCATTTTCTTATATCTGCAACACTGGACCAAGATGGCTTTGCTTTGACATCAAGCCAGCTTAGAGAAGTACAGAGCTGGAGCCAAGGAACCTCTCTCCTTCCACCTTGACCATATCCCACTATTGCCAACCTCAGGAACCAGTCACCTGCAGTTTTATTCATAACTATATAAGCTGAGATTCCATTTTTCTTCTATCATAGAGTATATGTAATAGGACAAGATTAAGACATTCATAATCTATTTTATTAAATATTAATTACTCAATTGTTTTGGTTACTGAAACACATGAACAATAAACACCAATATTAAAATTTTATGCTACTTTTAACTTGCCAGTATTTGTATAGGCATCATTTCTGCAGCTAGCATTGTGACTTAGCTAACAACCAGGAAAGAAGGAAAGGGTACATGTCTTACCTCTGCCTCTCAGGCTCTCCATCCACATCTTCATCAGCACTGCATGTAGCACTGGAATCATTGTCTGACTGGGGCTCAGGCCTTTGGGCATTTATCTGCTGAGCCACCACCAGATCTTCATCTCTAGGCTCTGTCTTCTCACTGGCTCTTTCCAAGTCTCTTTCTTTGGTATCTCCTTCACTTTTAGATGGACTGCTGTCTGGCAGCCTCATTTCAGCATCCACAGATTCTGCTTTGGTAGTGGTTGGGGGATGAGGAACAGAACCTGCTTCAGCATCACACTCCTGGTGGTCCACATCCATCGTCTCTGCTGTCTCAACACTGGTGCTGTCAGTCACCTGGGTCTCCACACTTTCACTCTCAACTGCCTTTGTACTTGGAACTGCTGAGGAGGGAGATGCACCGGGTGCCGGGTCAGTGGTAGACTCGAGCTCAGCCACAGGTTCGGTGTTTCCTCGGTAAGCAGCATTTTCATTGCTGTCTTCACTGGGCTTGACAGTTTCAACTGGTGAAGGAGAAGGAGCACTTTCTGTATCAGAACTATTTTCAGCACCTTAAAGATAATGATACAGCATAAAAATCTGATAATAAACGTGTTTCAGGTGGTGACAGAACCATGCTTGAAAGTGGTGGTTTAGGATGAATTATGCTCCTTTGATGACCTCATTGAAGTTATTTACAGGCATGGGGAAAGCTAGTTTCCTGAGAGTATGAAAGTGAAAGATAAAATTGCCTTGACTTTCTGAAAACGAAAGTGAAAAGGTTTTGGATATCTAAGAATAATTTATTTAGGTGTGGAAAGGACAGAACAACAAAACTAAGCAAAAAAAAATCCTTATATTAAAAGTATATTTTTAGCCAGGCGCCAGTGGCTCACCCCTGTAATCCTAGCTACTCAGGAGGCTGGGATCTGAGGATCGCGGTTCAAAGCCTACCTGGGCAGGAAAGTCAGTGAGACTCTTATCTCCAGAAAACCGGAAGTGGCACTTGGCTCTAGTGGGAGAGCACTAGCCTTGAGCTGAAGATCTCAGGGACAGCACCCAGGCCCAGAGTTCAAGCCCCACGACTGACCCCCCACCCCCGGAAAAGTAGCACTTTGGTATATTTCTATGAGCCTTTTTTTTGGGGGGGGGTGGGTCGGTCACAGGGCTTGAACTCTGGGCCTGGGTGCTGTCCCTGAGATCTTCAGCTCAAGGCTAGTAGTGCTCTCCCACTTGAGCCACAGCGCCACTTCCGGTTTTCTGGAGATAAGACTCTCACTGACTTTCCTGCCCAGGCAGGCTTTGAACCAAGATCCTCAGATCCCAGCCTCCGAGTAGCTAGGATTACAGGGGTGAGCCACCGGTGGCCTGGCCGGCTCTATAAACCTCTTTCTGTACATTTCTTGCTAACCAAAAGAAATGGCATGCTAGAACAGCATTATCCAACATAAATACAATGTAAACTGCATCTGTAGATAAAAATTTTAGATAGCTACATAACAAAGGAAAAACTGTAACAATTTTTCCTTAACCCAAAATGTTATCATTTGCATCCCAAATATGAGCATTTCAATGTAACCAATATAAGAAATTAGTAACCAGTTATTTTAAGTTCCATTGGTATTGTCTTCAAAATCTGAAATACAATAACCACATGTATCTAGAGGTTACTACATTGAACAAGTCTCTACAATATTTCAGATTCTTAATTTTATGTGGTAAGACAGGTTTTTCCTCCTATAGTTTGTACCATTTTATAAATGTATTTCTGACACTTCTGACACTTCAACTAGATATCCCAAAAGAATTCTTCTTTTCCTCTCCCATTTCTCCTCCTTCCCGCCCCCCCTCCCTCTGGTGGTACATGTCTATAATCCTAGCTACTTAGGAGTCTAGGAACTGATGATTGAGGTTCAAAGTCAGCTAGGGAAGAAAACTTATGAGACTCTTATCGCCAATTAACCAGCAAAAAAGCAGTAAGTGAAAGTATGGCTCAAGTGGTAGAGTACCATCTTAGAGCAAAAACGACAAGCAAGCAAAGGAAGGGGTGAACAAAAAGAAATGTACTCTTTACTTGACTTATGTAACTGTAACTCCTCTGTAACTCACTTTTTATAACAACCATTTTTAAATTTTTTTTTTAAAAAGACAAGAGAATGAGGCCTCAGTTCAAGCCCCAGTACATGCATAACAAAAAAGACTAGGGTTCAAGTAGTAGACTACAGGTCTAGTAAGCAAAAGGCCCAGAGTTGAAACTTAAGTACTAATCCCCTCAAAAGTTAATTAATTTTAAAAAGCCAAGTGTTTTCTTTCAACTTAAAATAAATTTGAAAAAGTAAACAATATTGTATTACTTGCAAAGAAATGGTAGGGCCTGGAATAAATTATGTTAAAGCAGACCAGAAAGACAAAAGAGAAAGATTGTTTTTCCTCACATGCAGAAGCCAGAATTCATTTATAACCATGTAAGTAAATGCACTGGTATGCAAGTGTATAAAAAAATGTATTAACTGAAATAAGGTGGAGTCAAGGGAAAACTCAAGTAGCATAATTTCTTAGAAAGGTAAAGTCAAGGGCTGGGAAGGTGGCTCAGTGGCCCAAGTGGTAGAACATTAGCCTTGAGCTGAAGAGCTGAGGGACAGTGCCCAGGCCTAGAGTTCAAGCCCCAGGACCAACAAAACAAAAACAAAAAAACAGAAATGCACTCTATACCTGATGTATGTAACTGTAAACCTTTGTATATCACCTTTATGACAACAAAAAAATTAAGAAAAATTTTAACAACAAGCCAGGCGCCAGTGGCTCATGCTTGTAATCTAGCTACTCAAGAGGCTGAGATCTGAGGATTGTGGGTCGAAGCCAGCCTGAGCAGGAAAGTCCATGAGATTGTGGCTCAAGTGCTAGAGCACTCGCCTTGAGCTGAAGAGCTCAGGGACAGCGCCCCAGGCCCAGAGTTCAAGCCCTACAACCGACAAAAAATTTAAAAAGAAAAGTAGACATACTGGAAAATAGACATTATTAAATACATACAGCAAATGAAAGAAAGCTAAACAGCATAAATATTTTAATCCAAACATATAAAGTACAAGATAAAATGTATAACACGCAAAAAAAAACCAGTATTTAAGGAAAAGCAGCATTTGAAATTAAATGTTAATTATGTCAGGAAAAAAGAAAAACAAAAATGCAACTTTGTAAATAAAAACTTGAGTATTAAGAATTAGTAGTGATCAGTAGTGACATAAAACATTAACCCCAATAATACTGTTTTTTTGTCAGTCATGGGGCTTGAACTCTGGGCTTAGGCACTGTCCCTGCGCTCTTCAGCTCAAAGTGAGTGCTCTATCACTTGAGCCACAGCGCCACTTCCAGTGTTCTGGTGATTAATTGGAGATTAATTGGACTTTCCTGCCCAGGCAGGCTTTGAACCGTATCCTTAGATCTCAGCTTCCTGAGTAGCTAGGATTACAGGCGTGAGCTACCAGCGCCCAGCAATACTGAGTGTTTTGAAATAAACATATTTGAAAATGTACTAAGAAAAACTGGAAGAATAAAAATATGTCCTTAAAAATGACAAAGCTAAAATGCCAAATACTACTATCACTTACTTTCCCATTCTATCTTTATTCTTTAATGAAACCCAATTACTCTTAAGAGAAAGTTCCAAAACTGTCAACAGGGCCTCTAAGACCATCCTTGTATGCCCTTGACAGGCTCTTACACTAGCCAGTCTCACGGGCTTTGATGTTTCCTGAATGTCCCACAGGGACTCTATCTGCTATTCAGGTTCACTTACTGAAAGGTTCTTTCAGTAAAATAATAACAGCTCAAAATCACATGGTTAAAAAGCATTCTAAGCCAGGGATGGTAATCTTAGTTACTCAGGAGACTAAAAGCAAGACAATCACAGTTCAAAGCTAGCCCCTGAAAAAAAGTTCAAGACTCCCATCTCAACTGAAAAGGCCTTAAGCATGGTGGCATGTGCCTGTCACCCAGCTACTACTAGCAGCATACATGGTCCAGGAGTAGAGAAGGCTGGAGGCTTCAAACAGTAGAGCTGCCTTGCAAAGTCCTGAGTTCAAACCACAATGTGGTCCTGTGCCCAGTGTGTGTCTGTTGGGGTGGGGGTGGGGGGTAGATTCTATGGTATCTTTAATAAGATTATTTGTTCTATCAGAGCTCTTATAACATGTATTTGACCCTTGGATGTTTTTCCTAGTAAGCTATAAACACTGTAAAGGTAAAGATCATATATTTTGATGAGCATTAAAGTTCTAGTGACAAACAGTGTGCCTGGATTATCATATACTTTCAGAGCCTTGAATTACTTCCAATTTGGCTTGTATATTTTATTTAAAAAATAGACAACAAGGTAATTAAATCTCCCTAAAATTGATTTTATACACACACACACAAACACACACACACACACAGAGACACATATAATGCATACTTCTGTAAATCCAAGTGACTTTTAAGAAAAATTCAAGTGAACCAATGGTGGATATGGGAGAATAAGACCTTGAGAGACTACCGACACTGATGAATGGCAATAAACTGAGGGAAGACTTGACTCTTCAGACATTACAATAGACCATAAACTGGTATATTAAAACTATCCAGAATTGCTAAAGTGACTAAGAAAATTCATGGGTACAAAAGTCCAGAAATAACTTGTACTAAAAAAACCCTAAGCCACATTAAAAGTTACATTTTCAATTACAGAGTAAAAGATGATTTATTAAATCAGAACTGGCTCATTAAGCCGGGCGCTGGTGGCTCACGCCTGTAATCCTAGCTACTCAGGAAGCTGAGATCTGAGGATCATGGTTCAAAGCCAGCCCAGGCAGGAAAGTCCGTGAAACTCTTATCTCCAATAAACACTCAGAAAACCAGAAGTGGCGCTGTGGCTCAAGTGGTAGAGTGCTGCCTTGAGCTGAAGCTCTCAGGGACAGTGGCCAGGCCCAGAGTTCAAGCCCCATGACCGACAAAAAAAAACAAAAACAAAAACAAAAAAACAAAACTGGCTCATTATATTTTAAAAGATGTGCCCCAAGTTGCTTGGTAAGACTTTTTAAATGTTCAGAAGTTAACAAAATAGAATATATTAACCTCTGAAAATATTCTGAGATATCCTTAAGCAAAATAGGTAACACTAACACTATAAGTTTATAAACGTATCACTTGTACAAAAAAAAAGCTTGTATAACCATTCAAGTATGTATGAAGTGTACTAGTACACACAGGAGCTGTGAAATAAATCAAACTATATACACTCAATGGAGCCCACATTCCCCTGTGAAACAGATAATGAATCAATACCTGATATATCAGCTGTAAAAGGCAGAGACTATGAAGCAGTAGGTAAGGCAAAGTGACATGTCAACAGAGGCACTATTCAAAGGAAAGAAGAGAGCGAGGCTCCAGGGACCCCTTGGGGAAGACTGTTATAGACAAAAGAAAATGAAAATCCAAGGCCCCTGACAGGACTGTCTTATAAGGAAACAACAGGGAGGACAGAACAGCTGGAGTAAAAAGAGCAAACATAAAAGGCTAAGTGTGGGTATTTATA